GGAGGTGGGGTATGGGGGGCTCAGCCTGTCACCTGGAGGTGGGGTGTGGGGGACCCAGCCTGTCCCTTGGTGGTGGGCATTGGGGTCCCAGCCTGTCCTTCTCCCCACAGCTGGGCGCGGACTGAGGGCTGCTCACAGCCTTTATCGCCCTTCATTGTCTCATGGAAATTTCGTGGGGTTGGAAGGACAAGAAGTGGTCCCATTTGGCAGCTGAGTAAACTGAGTCTTAGGAGGAAAGGCTGGGGCCTCCTGGGGGAGGCAGAGGCTGACGCTGATCCTTTGGGTCCTGCAGCTAGGGGGAGACAGCCCTAGCCCATTTCTCACTGACCCCCTCTCCCCTCGGGATGGCTCTCGGACTCCTGCGGCCTAGACACCCACGCCCAGGCCTCCTCCCACGAGCCACTGCCAAGGCCTTCAGCTCCCTGAGGCCCACCCTGCCAGGGGTAGCCCCGAAGGTGGGGGCCATCTTGGGGGGGCAGCTGAGCCACGCTGGGGTGAGGGGACAGGAGGTGCAAAATGTGGTGAGGGTGCTAGGACCCTGGGAAGTGGGCGGAACATGGAGGTCATTTGGGGTGTGGGGTGTGTGGTAGGGGGTGTGCTGGCTGGGCGGGACCCCGGGAGATGGGGGGAGCACGCAGGCCATTTAGGTGTCGGGGAGTGTGAGGTGAGAGAGGCCATCTGGGGAGAGGGTCACAGAGGCCACTGGGCAGAGTCGGAGGAGGAAGCGCCTGCCAGCCTCAGTTTCCCCATCTGCCACAGGGGCTGAGGAAGGGTCCAGCATCTCTAGGGCTTCTCAGGAGGTCTGACAGCAAGGCCCCCCATACACCCCCCATTGGGGAGGGATGGTCAGGGGCCGGGACAGCAGGAAGAGGAGAGTGGGGGGAGGACAGGCGGGGGAGCTTCTCCCTGCAGTCCATGCGTGGGCGAGAGCGAGATTCCAGAACTCTCCGGGGAGACTGTGGAAGAGCCGCAGCCGTTGTGCTGTCTTAGCCTGCGGCTGCCCCGACCCTGTGCTTCCTGTCCGGCCTCCCTCCCTGAGACCTTCAGCTGACACATGGTGGGGGTCTGACTCCTCTGCCGAATGGGAGACTTCACAGCCCGGAGAGGACAAGACACTTGCCCAAGGCCGCACAGCAAGAACCCACGGCTATCTGCAGAATCAATGCATGCATGCACGAATGAATGAATGAGGGAATGAATGAGCGTCCTGGTGCGCTGCTGTGTGAGCTGTCTGTGCCATGGGCTGACTCTTGGAGTAGGAGAGTCTGCTGCCCTCGCGGCTGTACCTGGGGGTGGTCTCCTGTCCCCAGGTCCTGTCCTGAGGTGGAGGTGGGCAGAGACAGTAAACTTGCCCATAGCCACCCCTCTGGCTGTGGTGCTGGCACAGGCTGCACTGGGGGTGCACGGGTCTGCTGTTGTGTGGGCACCTGCAGCCGTGCCAGGTGGTGAGTTGGAGCAGGCCCACCCACATGGAAATGGGCCCAGCCTCCTGCCTGCAGGGGCCCGAGGCCCCCAGCCCCCAGTGCTGCCTTCCTCCATCCACCCCCAGCCAATCCTCCCGCTCCTTGGCACCCACTAACCTCACATGGTCTTTCTTTAGGCCTGCCCTCTCCGAGGCTCAGTTTCCTGGCTGTGGCAAGGCAGAGAAAAACAACCCCTTAGGGCACAGCTGTGGGACTCAGAGACCCCGTGAAGGGCACAGGCTTGGTGGAGGGGGTCTCACTGGGGAGTCAGTGGGGAGAGGGCTTGGCCTCCAGGCAGGCAGAGCTGCGTTCAAGCTTCTGCTTCTATTTTAAAACCAGTCCCGGCCGGGCGCGGTGGCTCAAGCCTGTAATCCCAGCACTTTGGGAGGCCGAGATGGGCGGATCACGAGGTCAGGAGATCGAGACCATCCTGGCTAACACGGCGAAACCCCGTCTCTACTAAAAAAAAATACAAAAAAACTAGCTGGGCGAGGTGGCGGGTGCCTGTAGTCCCAGCTACTTGGGAGGCTGAGGCAGGAGAATGGCGTGAACCCGGGAGGCGGAGCTTGCAGTGAGCTGAGATCCGGCCACTGCACTCCAGCCTGGGCGACAGAGCAAGACTCCGTCTCAAAAAAAAAAAAAAACAAACCAGTCCCTGACCTAAACCATGTGCCCATGGCCAGGGCTCAGTAGCGAACAAGACAGGCCAGGCCCCGGCGCATTGAAGTTCCAAGCACAGCTGGGACAGCCAGACAATTATAATGGTAATGGTAAGAATAACAGTGGCCTGGCACCGCACCCTCGCCGTGTACCACAGCTGATGCCTTGTGTCATCTGCACAACACCCTTCAAAGCGGGCCTTCTAGTTATTCCCATTTTACAGCTGAAGAAACTGAGGCACAGAGAGGTTGTGCCACTCACCTAAGGCCACCCAGCTAATAACTAGCAGAGGCAAGATGGAAGCCGTGGGAGTGTGGATCCAAGAGGCAGATGAACTGGGCTGGCCAACGGCCTTGAGCAAAGCACCCAGCCCTTCTCAGCCTCGGTTTCCCCCTGAGGTTCTGCTGCCAAACCCAGGGCAGGTCTGGGAAAGGGCAAACAGGGAGTCAGCTTGCAGAGCTGTCGGACCGTGGGCCCCAGCACCAGGAGTCTCCCTTTCAGGACCTATGAAATGAGGTCATGGTCCTGACCCCTAAGGAGGACGGCATGGCAAAGGAGCTGCTTGGAAGCCCCTGGCCTGAAGCCCACCAGCCTCACCTGGGCCCATTCCCCCCACCAGCTCGAGCCAGGGGCTGCAGAGAAAGCCTCAGGCATGAACATCATGGGGGCGGGCACAGGGTCGTGGGAAGGGGCTTCTAGGGAGGTCCCTATGGACACACCTGGGCAGCCCGGCCTCCTGGGGGCTGTGGGAGAGGCAGCAGAGCCAGCCCGCTCAACGGCAGGGCCACAACTGCCTGTGGCCCCTGGGGAGTGACCCCCCTCTGGCTCCACAGAGGCAAGGATGGGAAGAGGCGGAGAAACCGGCTGTGCGGGACACCTGAGCCCCGGACCAGGCCTCCCAGGGGGCGGCTGCCTTGGGGCTGAGAGGCAGAGAGGAGGTCAGTTCCCACCGCCTCCCCGCGGAGGCCCGGGAGGAAGCGGGTCAGCAGGTGGTGGGCCAGCTGGGGCCTGGGCCTGCCCCGACCCGCATCTGCTGGGCAGGGGCGTCCAGGCCAGTGTCTCCTGGCCTCGGTTTCTGGATCGGTCACTAGGGACACTGTCCCTCCCCTCTCTGGCCCCTGGGAGCAAGGCTGGTATGCAGGGCCCTCATCCCATTTCGCAGACGGGGACACTGAGACCCCCGGCAGGGCTCAGGGGTGATGCAGGACTGTTCCCAGTTCTGCCGCTTCCAGGCCGCTTGTCGGGGCCGAGGAAGGCATCAGCAGGTGGACACTCGGAGACCCAGCTTCAAATCGCGGTCCTACCACCTCCGGGCTGGGGGAGCGCCAAGCCTTGGTTTCCACATGGTGTAAACAGCGCTTCGGAAGATCAACTGAGCCTGCGCTTGGCACCGGTGATTATGGGGTGAAAAGCACCTTCCGGCTGGTGGAGCGAGTGCTGGAAGCCGGGACTCGCTGGCTTAGGGCCTGGTGGCTGCTGGCCCGGAGCTCATGCCCGGACCTGAGGGCTGGAGGAGAAACATCCTGCCCGTGAGTGGGCCTGGCATGGGGTCTATGGTCTATGTGTGCCCCTCTGGGCCTGGCATGGGGTCTACAGCGGGCCTGGGGCTAAGGGGTTGCTGGCCCATCTCTGCCTGTGTGTGTCCCTCTGGGCCTGGCGTGGGGTCTATGGCCTATGTGTGCCCCTCTGGGCCTGGCGTGGGGTCTAAGTCCTCAGCCTATGTGTGCCTCTGGGCTGGCGTGGGGTCTACGAGCGGAGGAGCCTGGGGACTCCCATCTGTGTCTATGTACACCCCTCTGGGGGTCTATGGCCTATGTGTGCCCCTCTGGGCCTGGCGTGGGGTCTACGGCGGGCCTGGGACTAGGGGCCCATCTCTGTGTCTATGTACACCCCTCTGTCTCTTGTGCCAGGCAGGTTCCTGGGTCCCTAGAGTTGAGCAGGAGGCACAGGGCGAGGCGTTTTCTGTCCATTCTTTTCACACAGAGGCAGGGACCACAGGCCGTGTTCCTGGTGGGCAGGCACAGTGCTGGCTGCTCCTTGAGTCTGCACTCTGCCTGTACCATCAGGCCCCAGGCCCCCAACTTATGCTTCCCAGCCCTCCTCTCTGTCCCCTAACTTATACATGCCAAGGGGGGGGTGCCATGGCTCCCAAGCCCACACGGATGAAGGACAGGGGAACTGGCTTAGCAGTGAAAGAAGACCCAATTTCCTAGATTCCTGGTCTTTTGGGGTGTCGTGGGTTGAATAAAGGCCCCCAAAAAAGATGTGCCCGAGTTCTAACCCCTAGAACCTATGAAGGGGACATTGTTTGGAGAAGGGCTTTTTTTTTTTTTTTTTTTGTGTTGGTGGTCCTGAGACGGAGTCTCACTCTTGTCGCCCAGGCTGGAGTGCAGTGGCTCAATCTCAGCTCACTGCAACCTCCGCCTCCTGGGTTCATACAATTCTCCTGCCTCAGCCTCCCAAGTAGCTGGGACTACAGGCATGCGGCACCATGCCCGGCTAATTTTTGTATTTTTAGAAGAGTTGGGGTTTCACCATGTTGGCCAGGCTGGTCTCGAACTCCTGACCTCAAGTGATCCACCCGCCTCAGCCTCCCAAAGTGCTGAGATTACAAGCATGAGCCACCACACCCGGCCTGGAGAAGGGCTGTTTGTAGAAGTAATTAAGTTAAGGATCTTGAGATGAGAGGGCTCACAGGCTCAGAGAAAAGACTGTGTGAAGATGGAGGCAGAGATGTGGGGAGGCCTTCCTAAGCTGCCCAAGTCTGGCGGGCAGCCTCCAGACATCGCGGTGGGATGGAGCGGACAGAGCAGACCCTTCCTGACTTTGAGGGAAACCAGCCCTGCGGGCACCTTGATCTCAATTTCTGACCTCCCAGACTGAGACAATGAATTTATTTTGTTTCCAGCCAAGTCTGTGGCCATTTGTGAAAGCAGGGCTGGACATTAACTTAGGGGGACAGCAAGAGGTTTCCAGAGCCTGGGAGGGAGGGGTGAGGGCTTGGGAGAGGGGCCCAGTGGGGTGCCACGTGGGAAGCCCTCCCCTAGGGGCAACTCCACGGATGGGTCCCTGAACCCCAGCTCAGGCTTCTGCTCATTGGCCAGGTGGGTTGTGGAGGTGGACTCACAGCAAACCAGGCCTCCCGGACCCCGTTCCCCAGGGGACCAGGTCTGGCTGGGAACTCCTGCAGCCCGGCCACAGGATGCCTCCAAGCCCCCACAATCCCGTGCACTGGACAGGGATGAAGGGGGACCTTTTTCTCTCCCCTGGTATTCTGTCTCTGTGAGGAAGGTCATCCCCTCATCCTCTGCACCGCCCAGCCCTGGCCCCCATCCCCCTCAGACCTGGGAGCCCCCTGAGTTCTCTCTGGAGCTTGGCCCATGCACACGAGCACAGCCTTGGCTTCTGGCGGGTGCTGCTCAGATGCTCCTTGAGCAAGGGAGTGAGGGAGCCAGCAGCTCATCTGGCCCCAGGGCCTTTGCACCTGCCGTTTCCTGCCCCAGGATGATGTCCCCAGGCACCCTCCATGTCTCAGCCCATGCACCCGCTTGTCCGGCCCTCCTTGGCTACCCAGGCTTGCCAGGCATTCTCCACCCACTTCTCGCATGTTATCGCGGGACCCCCTCGTGGAGTTGTTTGCTGGCCCTCTCTCTCTCTCTGCTGGCTGCCGGGATGCTGTGAGCTCTAGAGGGCAAAGCTGGGTCTGTGTGGCTCCTGTCCTATCTCCAGCATCCCACATCACAATGATATTTCCAGCTGCAGGAAGGGGAGGGTTCGGTGGCTGCTCGAGGCTGTCCGGGGTGACCCTGAAGATTCTCCTGCCTGAATGGCCCATTCATCTGCCTGATGCTGGCCTCCCTCTACCAAAGGCCTCAGCAGCAGCTGCCTCTCAGCCCCCAGCCTCTGCCCCATGACTGGAGGAGTCACCAGGCCTGGCCCTTGGAGGACACACCCAGCCCAAAGGCCCTCTGCTCCTAAAGCAAAGTGCAATGGGGCTCAGAGTGGCCCCCCAGCAAGAAGCCCCAAGAGGATTTCAGGGCAGCCATAGTTACAAGTGCCCTGACCTAGGAGGGGCACTCCTTGGGGTCTGGCCCCATTCTGCCAGAACTGGCTGTGTGCCCCTAAGCAGATCCTGTCTCTGGGAATATGTCCGCTGGGTCCAGGGAGCAAGCAGATAGCCTCCTTGCTCCACCTGCTCTGGAGACAGAGGCCACCGGGGCGACAGCAGAAGTCACGGAAGGCTGCCTGGAGGAAGAGGCAGTCACATGTTAGGATGAATGCAAAAGCTGGGGGAGCTGACCCAGCCTCGGAAGCCCCATTTCTTGAAGCAAAACCTTCCTGATGGGGTCCAACCTCCTGTCCAAGGTTGCCGCCACTACGCTGGGCAGGAAACGTGTTAGGGCCACGCCCCAGCCTGAGCGAGGCCTGGCCTTGGCCTCCCACCTTGGCCTGTTCGTCTTACCCTCATCAAGCAGGAGGCCAGCCCGACCCGCCTCCTCCTTCCGGAGTCTCCAGCTGTACAAGGGGAAGGAGCCGTCTCCGGGCTGCCGGGACGGGCTCTGGGTGTGTGCACACAGGGACACACGTGTCCCCACACATGGCCGGCCCACGTGTGCACGGTGGCAGTGCGCCATGCTCCCCACGGGCTCACCCGTGCTTCCGCACACACGCGTGAAGCACGTAAGCACCGCACGATCACAGGCCCCTCTCGCCCTCCGAGGCGTGTGCCGGCCGGCATGCATCCTGCTAGGGGATCTGAGTCTCCGTCGGTGACATATTCCATTTCCTGCAATAGCCCCAGAATGCCCCAGGAGTAATGACGAACAGAGCTCCCTCCCACCCTCGAAAGACGATACACTATGTGGACACCTCTGACTGGGCCACCAAGAGGATCGCAGTTGAGCTTTTGCTGAGCAGGGCACAAAAGCCATCAGGAGCCAGTCTTGGGGGCTACAGCTGGGGGTCGGTGACCTTGATCAGACCCAGGGAGGCCAAGAGGAGTCTCCCCCAGGTTGCACCGACAGCCCCACTCATTCCACACCTGAGTCTCCAGAGGGGGAAATGCAAGGCCCTGCAGTTAGGACATGAAATTGTCAGCCTGTCCCCATCCTGCCAGTGGGGATTGGCCTGTGGTTTCGTCAGCCGCCAGCCAGCGGCCGAGGACCAGCGCTGCAATCTGAGTGGGGGCCTGTGGGAGGATGCAGCTGAGGGGAGCCGTGAAGCTGAAGAAACTCTTGAGAAAGGTGGGAGGGGCCGGGGCAGTGCCAGGGCCGCCGTGCACACCCGTGCAGGTCGTGCACTGATCAGCAGCGCACACCTGAGATCCAGCCCGTGCTCTGCTCGTTGGATTGTAAAGAAGCAGTGGCTCTTCCCAAGCAGTGGCCCAGGCAGCAGGCGGAGCATCTGGCAGGCGGGGTCCACGCTTTCCCGAGGCCCTGTACTGGCTGTGGCTGTATGTGCACACGTCTACATGCCTTGCAGGGTGCCCAAACGGCCCGGAGGAGGCCAGGGCTCCCATGGGCAGGGAGACACATCCCTCTCTGGGCTGGGAGGCTGTGGTTCCCAGGCCATCACAATGGCCACACAACAGGGGCCCCCAGGGACGGAACCTAATCTTGAGCTATTGAAGATCTGAAAGCCGTGGCCCCTGGCCCGAGCCAGCAGACGCGCCTGCCGGCCCCACCAGGGACACCTGATCCACCGGTCGCCGGGCCACAAAGGGGGACACTGTCCCCCTAGGGCCGCCCGCCCCACCAACAGAGACAAGGAGGAAAACTGGGTCGCTGAGATAGAGTGACAGCCATGGCAGGTGGGGATGAGACACGAGGGAGGGGCGGCCACCACTGGGCACAGCCCAGCCTCTAAGGATGCCCCAGGCCTGAAGATCTGCCCTGGGTGGGGGGCCTCAGAGCCTCAAGGAGGGCTCAAGTGGCTGCTGGTTTGCAGGGGGTGGGGTGGAGGCTGGGGTGGGGGGCGCAGCTGAGACCAGAAAGAAACAGCTAGGACCCCACCTGTGGCTGGAGACGCAGCCAGGACAGGGGACTCTCCAGCCAGAGAGACACCATGGGCCAGGTTGTAGGGGGGCAGGCCTGGACGGGTCCCCAGGCCCCACCTCGCTGAGGCAGGCCAGCCAGCTGCCCAGTCCTTGGTCTGGGCATGTCCAGCTTTTGCTCAGTCTCCCAGCGGGGCAGGGCTTTCCGAGGGGTCGCAGGGAGAAGCAAGCCTGGCCAGAAAACCACCACGCCTGAAGGTCCACCTTCACCCCCTGGCACCACCAAAGACCTCGCCCAGGGGAAGTCTTGGAGCCTCAGCCCCTCAGAACTTTGGGACTTCCTGGCATATGGGAGGCACCCGGAGGGGTGAGCCTGAGGGGTTCACTTTCAAGGGTGGCTGGAGACATCTGCTGGCCATGTGGGCCCGGGGCCTCCACCTTCCCATCTGTGAAATGGGACTTGGACCTAGACGCTCTTCAAGGTCCCTTCTTCCAACTCTTCCAGCAAGAGCCAGGTGCAGGAAGCTCAGCTCCATTCCGTTGGCATCTGGGCTGAGTACCTTGTGGGTGCCTGGCTGTGCCAAGGGCTGGAGGGAACCCAGGAACAGGCAACATGTGCAATGGAGGAGGGAGAAGCAAGGAGACTTCCCACAGGGGTAGAGATGCTGAGCACTCCAGGCAGACCCAGAGGGGCAGCTGGAGTGTGGGAAGCCTGGGCCTGGCAGGACCTAGGGGGTTTAGCAGGCAGAGTGGGCCAGGGGGTGGCCCGAGAACGCCAGGGACAGAGCCAGCCCTCCTAAATGGGCAGTGGGGCGCCAAGGGAGGGTGGCAAAGCCGAGCCCCATCTCTAGGATTTAGGGGCAGCCCTCAGAGCCAGCTCCTACCCAGCTCCAGCTCAGGACAAGCAGTGGGCATGGAACTGAGATCCAGGAAGGCCAAGGTCCAGAGAGGTTCGTGGGCTGCCCCGGGCGACCTGGGGGTGATCTCAGCCCTGCCTGGAGATCCCCAGTCCTACTGAGTCAGCCACCAGGGAGAAGATAAGGCACCGCCAGGCTCTTAAGGAGCCTGACGTTGCCGTTGGGTGAAGCGGCCGCCCAGAATGACCTCAGAGGTTGCCGGCGCTGCCTGGCATACTACCCTGCCCGTCTCCACAGCTTCCTCTGGCAGTGGGTGGATGTATAATGTCCATCCACTACCAGAGGGTTCACCGCACCACAGCCCTGCTGAGCCCTGCTGAGCCCCCGCTGGGTCTGCCCTCCCGGGTACCCCAGGGACAGGGAGGCCAGGCACGGGGGATGCTGTGCAGGTTGGACAGTGGTGACGGTGGACAGAGCCACTCCCAAGAGTGTTAGAGACCTGGGGTGGGGGCGCCCGGGCAGACCACCCTCACCCCACCCTGTGGGACCCGGACCAGCTCACTTCCCTCTCTGGGCTCAGCTTCCTCATTTGCAAAATGAGGCCAAGAGTCATACCCGGCCGGGCCTGTGACCCTGGAGCCCCCTCCAGCCTCCTGCCCCACTCTGGCACCAGTCCTCCCTGCAGCTTGCAGAGCAAGCGGGATACTGTCTCCCCAAGGTACAGCCTGGGGGGCTGTGGGAGGTGATGGGAGCAGCTGTATTTGAGGGCAGGCTCCGTGGGGGAGCCCCCCAGTGTGGGGACAGGAGGAGGGACCAGGGAGTGTAACCTGGCAGCCCGCAGCAGTTCCGGCTGCTGCTTCTGTCAATACAGCCTTCCTGTTTTGGAGATTAAACCCCGGCTGAGCAAATAGCTTTCCAGGCAGCCCCTCCCTCCACCCCAGCCCTGGCCTTGTCTTCAGGTCCTGAGGCTGGGACCACCTGGAGGCTGTCGGGGTGGCAGTGGGGGTGCTGGGGGATGGAGGGGACCAAGCTTTGCAACCGCTGCCCTCACCAAGGCCTGGACCACAGCCCGAGCAGTCCAGCCCCTGCCCCAGCTGCAGCCTCCTCCCAGCCCCCCGCCATGGGCTCCCCCGGAACCCCCCCTGTGTGATCCTTCCGACCCAGGGCAGCCTCACTGTCCTGGACACCCGGCCGCTGCATCCTCTGCCCTTGTGTGACCTCCTGCAAGAAGGCAGGAGCACACCGCTCCCAGGCCTCGTGGTCAGGCACAAGCCCACCTTGTGTGGACCCCAGGCATGGCAGGAGAGCCACCACGAGAGCCCCACCAAGGCACAGCCACGGGAGGGCCTGCCATCTCTTGGATGGCTTCTGTGCCGTGGCCCCTGACATTGAGGGTGGCTCATTCTTCGTTGTGGGGCTGGCCTGTGCATGAGGGGCTATCAGGCAGCCTCCCTGGACCCTAGAAGCCAGACCCTAATGGCTGCTCAGCCCCAGCCCAGTGGCGACAAACGGAAGTGTCTCCAAACATTCATTATCAAGTGTCCCCAGAGACCAAGACCAGCCCTGGATAACACCCGCTGGGCAAGTCCCTAGCAGACAGTGTGCACAGAAATGGGCTGCAGAGAGAGGAAGGTGCCTCCCATGCCTGGACTCTCCTCTGATGCCAGCCTCAGCCCAGCCTCTGCTGCCCTGAGAGAGACCCTGCCCTACCTCCCCATGCCCACCTCCACCGTCCCCTCCTGCCAGGGTCCCACCCGTGAGCAACATGGCCCTGCCTTCCCTCTGCAAATCCTTCCCAGACTAAGCTGCAACACCGGCAGAGCCTCCCAAGGAAGGGAGGAGGGAGGAGGGAGGACAGAGGCCAAGGTGGCTCCCGGCCACCCTTCCAGCTTCCTCCTTCCCTGGCCACAAGGACACAAAGCTCAGAGGGATGGATGGACAGACAGGAAGGCTCAGGCTGGACACGCATTGTCCAAGGTGGGTCTCAGCGTTGCTTTTCCTCCTAAAATGCCACTCACAGCCCTCCTCTTGCTTGCGAACCTGCAGTCCCCTATGTCTCCCCCAATACCCCTGCATTCTACACCTAGATCCTCAGGCTTCTCTTTATCTCCAGCCTCACCTCCACGGATGTTCCACACACCTGTGCCTGACTACACAACCTCCACCTCCACCTGCTCCCCACACCCCTGCCTGACCGCACAGCTTCCACATACTCCCTACACCCCTGCCCGACCTCACAGCCTCCACCTACTCCCCACACCCCTACCCTACCCCACAGCCTCCACCTATTCCATACACCCCTACCCAACCCCACAGCCTCCACCTACTCCATACACCTTTTCCCCAGCCCCAGCCTCACCTGCTCCATGCCACCCCTACCCAACCCCACAGCCTCCGCCTCCCTTTGCCACCCCCAGCCCCACAGCCTCCACCTGCTCCCTCACCCCTCCCCAACCCCGCCTCACCCCTGTCACACCCCTGCCAGAAGCCCGCTCCACCTACCTCCACTTCCCCCCTACACCCCTACCCAACCCCACAGCCTCCACCTACTCCATACACCCCTACCCAACCCCACAGCCTCCACCTGCTCCCCACACCCCTCCCCGACCTCACAGCCTCCAACTCTACCTGCTTCACACACCCCTGCCTGACCGCACAACCTCCACCTCCATCTGCCCAAACCTTCAAGCCCCAGGGCAAATGTCACCTCTTTTCCTGGAAGCCTTTCCGGAAGTTCCCTGCCTCCCAGTCCCAGCCCACAGTGGGTTCTCCCTCGTCCAGGCCCTGGGCACCTTTGGGCTGGACCCATCTTTCTAACGCCTGTTGAATCCTCACCTCCTATGTTTCCCCAGTGCCCCAAGCAGAGCTGGGCAAGGAGCAAATGCTCAGGCAGGCTGTGGGATGAGCAGGTGAAATGGATGGAAGGATGGACGGACAGACGGATGGATGGATGGACGGATGGATGGAGCCCAACACCAGCTCTCACGTCCTAGACGGATGGTCCAACACCAGAGAGGTGGCCTCTCTCAGCAGGGGTGGTCACCATTCCTGGGGACATAACCTCCCCTCCTGCTTCCAGAGCAGCCTGGAATATCCTTTGATGCTGTATCGTCTTCCCTGACCCTTCCAAGGGGGAAGAAAACATTGGTCCATGGTAGAGAGGGGGAGCCTGGGATCAGGGAGGTACACAAGCCCAAGATCACACAGCAAGCAGGGCTCCCCTGGGGCCAAAACTGACCCCTGCTCCCTCCACCCGGCCTCGAGCCCCTCCTCCCACTGTTCTGGATCCCATCCCACTGACACGGGCACAGGGTCATGACTAGGGTGGGGGGTCATGCCTGGGGCCTGATATGCACCAGTGTGGCCGCAGCCCACCCCCTGCCCGCTGTGGCTGCCACACAAGCCAGCCATTCTTGGCAAGACAAAGGCCGGCCGGGGCAGGGTGGCTCTGGTGCCTCCCTGGTGGGTGTCTGGACTCTGCGGGATGTCAGTAAGTGGATCCTGGTGCCTGTGCTCTGATACTGGGGACTCTGCAAATCAGATTAGCCCCATCCAGCCCCACGGCCCAGCTGGCCTGGGACAGAAGCACCAGAAAGAGGCGCAGCTGCCAGGCCCAGTCCTGCTGTCCTCCTGGTGCGGACAAGCCCTGGCCCCCGGGCTGAGGCCTCTCGCTGTCCCTGCTGTGGGCTCAAGGGTGTGCCACCTCTCCTTTCTGGACCCCTGGACCCATCTGTAAGACCAACAGTTAGAGAGACCCTCTGAGGCCTTCTGGAGGTGGGGTCTGGCACATAGTGCCTGGGCACTGGGAATTCACCCTCAGCACAGCCCTCCCCCAGGCCCCAGGCCCCAGGCCCTGTGCCGGCTCAGAGGCCAGCAGCAGTCCTGCCAGGTCTTCTCACCCTGAGACCTATGCTCCCCAGGGCTGGGCATTTGGGAGACAGAGTCAGAGAGGTGCCTTTGAGCCCCCTGTGTGTTTGCACATCCACCCATCCATCCTTTCATCCAAACCTCTACCAACCAATGTTGATCAAGCACCTGATATACACAGGCACTGCTCTAGGCCCTGGGGTACAGCCAAGAATCACATCACAGTCCTGCTGTCAAGTAGCTGACATTCAGCACCTTCCCAGCCACCTGCATGCCTCTGTGTGTATGTGTCCGTCCATCCATCCATTAGATCATCTGTTGGTCCATCTGTCCATCCATCCATACATCCATCCATCCATCCATCCATCCATCCGTTCGTTCGTCCGTCCGTCCATCCGTCCATCCGTCCGTCCATCCATCCGTCCATCTGTCCATCTGTCCATCTATCCATCCATCCATCCATCTGTCCATCTATCTGTCCATCCATCCATCCATCCATTCATCTATCCATCTGTCCATGCATTCATCTGTCTATCCATCCATCCCTTCATCCATGCATCCATCCATCCATCCATCCATCCATTCGTCTGTCCATTTGCCTATCCTTCCATCCATCTATCCATCCGTCCATTCATCTGTCCATCTATCCATCTATCTATCCATCCATCTATCCATGTATCCGTCTGTCTATTCATCCACGCATTCATCCATCCATCCATTCATCTGTCTGTCTGTCCATTCACCTACCCATCCATCCATCCATCCATGCATACATCCATCCATCCATGCATCCATTCATCCATCCATCCATCCACCCATCCATCCATTCATTCATGTATCCATCCATCCATTCATCCATGCATACATCCATCCATTCATCTGTCCATTCACCTATCCTTCCATCCATCCATCTATCCATTCATCCATCTATCCATCTGTCCATTCATCTGTCCATCCATCCACCCATCCATCCATTCATCCACCCATCCATGCCTCCATCCATGCCTCCATCTGTCCATCCATACATGCATCCATCCATCCATTCGTCTGTCTGTCCATTCACCCATCCATCCATCCATCCATCCATCCATCCATCCATCCATCCATCCATCTATCCATCCATCCATCCATTTATCTTTCCATCCATCCATCCATCCATCCATCCATCCATCCATCCATCCATCCTATTCATCTATCCATCCATCCATCCATCCTCCATCCATCCATCCATCCATCCACATCAGTTCATCTGTCTGTCTATCCATCCACCTTCCATCATCCATCTGTCATCCATCTGTCCCATCGTCTGTATGCCCATCTGCCCCTCCATCTAACTGTTCATCATCCATCCATCCATCTATCCATCCATCCATCTGTCCATCCATCTGTCCATCCGTCTGTCTGCCCATCCATCTGCCCCTCCATCTAACTGTTCATCCATCCACCTTTCCCATCCATCCATCCCTCCATCTGTCCGTCCATCTGTCTATCCATTAATTCATCCATCCAACTATCTATCCATCCGTCCATCAATCTATCTGTCCATCTGTATATCTATTCCCCCCAATCAGTTCAACCAGTGTTTACCGAGCACCTACTTTGTCTCAGGCCCTGACAAGCAGCAAGAGGCATCCTCTTCCCCCAGGGACGCAGACATAAAGGAGCAGTTACAACCTCATGTGATCAGCACCAGGATGGGGGTAGCAGAGGGGAATGGGGAGGATGTTCTAGGAGGGGTAGCCCTTGGTGGGCCCTGCAGGGTGCCCTAGGCCAGGATGCCCCCCGAAGCCTTGCTCAGACACTGAGGCCAAGTCGGCTGAACTCTAACGGGCCTGGCCTCTCTGTCCACGCCTGACCCCAGGGTGCAGGCGAAAGGGCCAGGTCACTTTTGGAAAGGCTGTGGCTTCATGGCTACAGAGCACCAACCCTAAGGCAGCCTGGTGGGCAGGGAGGGTGAGGCACCAGCCCATATCCCTATTACAGAGTCAAGTAACATCCCCAGACCCGCAGAGAGGAGGGCACTGGTCCAAGACCACACAGCGGGCGAGGGGGTCTGGGCAGAGCAGGCAGGCAGGGTTGGGAATGATGGGGGCGCTACTCACAGCTGGAGTCTGCTAGTCTAGGGCAGTGCCTGCCCCAGCTGCAGTAATGGGAATCAGCTGTGCCACCCTGCAGTAGCCTCCCCCGGCCTTGGGAACTGGCTGTGCTGAGCCCAGCCAACCTTCCCATCACCCGCTTTCCTGCCAGCAGGGGCTGCTCACGGAAGCTCCTGGGCCGGGACACTCACTAGGCCACGCCTGCCTTTAGGAAATCCATGGGTCCCCTGGCATCTGGGGGCTTCACACACTGCCAGTTCTGACGCCTGGCCCCAGCCTGGGGGTTGACATTCCTGCGTCTGTGTCAGGAGAGGACAGGGAGGCCCAGGGAGGTGCCAGGCTTGCCCCAGCCACAGTCACCGCCATGCTGAGTCCTGTCCAGGAGTTTCCGTCGCTGGGCACTGCTGCTGGCCTGGAGGAAGCTGGTTCCCAAGACACTGAGCGGGGCCGCTCTCCATCAGCTGATGAGTGGACAGGCGCCTCGGATGGCTTCCTGCCGAGTTAATGGGTCACCCATTATGTCTCCACAGATCTTCCCAGGACCCTGCAGGAGGGCAGGCCGCAGCAGCCCCAAGGAACAGCCCGGGGGAGGGAAGGCAGATGGCCACCTCAAAGCCAGCCCCGAGTCCTTCCCCTCTAGGCCTGAGTGTCAAGGGCAGACCCAGCCCATGGCTTTGGGGACCTGGTGGCACTGACTCCAGCAGGAGATCCCTGGGCTGAGCCCTGGCAGGTAGGGGAGGCCTGGACTCATGGGGACAGAACACTGTCTCAGCCCGATGGTGGCTCGGGGAGGAGGGTAGGGCCCCTGGTCATGTAGGTCCTGGCCCCGTGCACCTGCTCTCCACCTGACCTCAGCAGGCAGGTCTCTTGGGCCATTCGGGCACCCAGCTGCCCTGGAGCCCCAAACTGGGACTGGTGGAGGGGCCCTGCGGAGGGGAAGGCTGGGGTCCAAGAAGCCCATGAAGCCATGTGCCAGGGCCAGAGCTGGTCTGCCTGGTCTGGATGGTATGTCATCCTTGTGTTACAAGTGTGGAAACTGAGGCTCAGGGAGTAACATCACAGGTTCAAGGTCTTAAAGCTGAGAAGTGGCCCCTCTGGGTTTGGAAGGCAGGCTGGACCCTGGGGCAGCCTCTACCCCCAGCCCCTCTTCCCCAGGACCCTACGGCCCCAAGAGGCTTCCCTGGCAACCCGGTCAGCCCTCTCTGTCCTCTCCCCAGCTCCCCTTGTCCTGTCCAGGGCTGAGCACCGTCCCACAGCCCACTTCCCTAGCAGGGCTGTATGGCCCAGTGGGCCCCTAGAGGGAGACCTGGGGTCTGGAGGGGGAGGGGAGTGTTTCAGGCTGAAGCTGAGCCTGGGGAAGCAGGCGGGGGTGGCTAGACGGGCCACCCCCTCAACAGTTTTCAGACCTCAAGGAGTCACCACAAAATTCCATTCTCCTGACAGCAAAGAAATTGATTCACTCTTGCCAAAGCCTGCGGCCCCCACAAGAATGCTGTAAAGCTTCCTCCTGCTGCTTCCAGACAGACAGCAGCATCAGGTCCCCCACTCCTCCATTCCTGGCTACACAGAGACGCGGAACCTCCGTACCCAGTTCTATGCATGTGCCCTTGCCAGGCTGGGCCATTCACCTCTGTATAGTCACTCCCTTGGCACAATATCACCCTTGCTTTCTGTACAATGGGCACTTTGCTCCCACGACCTGCTGCGTCAAAGGCACCGCAGTCAGGGGTAGTTGGGGAGCAGGGGTGGTGGTGGGGCTCAGGGCAGGAAGTCCCACCCCCTGGCCTGGGAGCTGTGGAGAGACAGACTCACAGTACCTTGTCAGGTGAGGTGCAGGGTGGCATGGCGCCCACCATCGGTGCCACTGATGTAAAGTCCAGATACAAAGCACAGCCCATCCAAAGATTTGGGGGCTTGGTCATGCTTGGCTGCTGGGCAGTGAGGAGGGATTGGGCCTCAAGAAACGGAGCTAGGACTAAGTCACGAGGTGCGTGGACATCAGGCGGGACTTGAGCTCAGCCAGTGGAGAGCTATGGAGGGTTTTGTTCTTCGTGTGGGTGTATGAGTGGCTATGATCCTAGCGTGGAGAATAAGCAAAGCAGGTAGGATAGGAGTAGGTGGGACGGGAGTGGAGGCTGCCTAAGCGATCCAGGGAAGAGATGGCTCCCTCTGTGAAACAATGCAGATATGGGAGAGGCTGAAGTCATCGGTGTGAAGCATGTGGGGGCATGGAGACCCCTCAGTCTGGAGGCTGGGGCTGGGCTGGGGCTCAGCTGACTTTGTGGGGGCAGCCAACCCAGCCACTGGGTCCTTTTCTCCCCGGCCCACCCTCGAGCCTCTCCAGCTGCCTGGAGGTTCCAGGGCTAGGCTCTGGCTGATCGGAGAGGGGTTTATGGCAGGAGGTGACGCCATGGGAGACTTGTCACTTGGGCACAGCCAGCACCATCTGCTGGGGCATCTGCCTTCGGAGGTGGTGACTGCTAATTACCTGGGACCAGGAAAAGGCCTGGGAACCCCCATCCCCCACACCGCCCAGCCGGTACAGGGGCTAGGGGTGGGGCCTCTGGGGCCCTAAGAGCAAATGGGCTACATCGTCCTTAGAGGGGGTCTGACAGTGGGGCCAGACATTTATCCATTGAATTTTTTCAGAGCACCTACGATGTCCCAAAACCTGTTCCAGGTCGAGATGACATGAGGTCGCTGCTGTCTTGCGGCTGACGTTCAGACGAAAGGAGAGGAGCGCCAAGGGGCACTTAAATAATTTAAAATGCCATCCCAGGCGTGAACATAACAGTCAGCGCCCGAGGGGAGCAGTTTAGCCACGGTGGTGGCGATGGTGGTCGTGGTGGTCGCAGAGACCGTGTTTAGGAGGGCACGGGAAGGCAGCGCAGCCACGCGCAGAGCCACGCCCGTCCACGCTTCCGGAGGACGTGGCGGGCAGGGGGCTCACACCCTGCTCAGGGGACCCTTGGCCACTTCCGGGCCCCTCGCCCCTCACCCTAGGCTGCCGGCGCGCATTCCTGCCGCCCCCGCTCGTGCGAGGGGCGGGCCCGGGCCCGGGCCCGTGGGAAGGGCCGGGGGTGGGGGCCGTGTGCCGGGGAGGCGGGCCGGGAGGGCGCACAGCTGGGCCGCATCTGGCCCGAGCGCAAGGAGACCAAATGGGACAGAAGGCGGCCTTTCATCCGGCGAGGGAAGTGGCGGCCTTCGTTTCTCCTCGCCACGGGGTGCCTGAGGATTTCGGGGAGCCAACCCGCCCGACGGAGGGCCGGGACTCGAGGCAATTAGCCCAGGAGGAAGG